AATCGAGCCCGTATCATCTTCATGCTCCTCCTCAAAAATACTCTTTCTCCGGCATTGTGTCGTTCAACGTTCGCAAGGGGATTCACCGCACCGATTCGCCAGGGTAAAGGGGTCCGAAGAAGGGAATTTTTTTTCACTTACCCATCTGGTAAATCTGTTAGCAACAAGACCTTTAAATATGGTGGGTAGATAGGCAGGGTAGGACTCACTTTTGTCGACTGTTGTGGTTGCTCGAGAGAGGTATGCCGGTTGGGTCTCGTTCGTGAAATTGGGATTTGTGATTTCCGTTGAGTTAGGGCTGCCACCCTAAGCGACCTTGAGGCTTGGCACGGGACACCATTCCTAATTGGGTGTTCAGCCACTGTGGCTGATCAGATCGGTCCCGTTGGCGGTGAGGCATCGTTCCCCACCTCATGTTTGCACTTGTACGGAGGAAGCATATCGTGGTTCCATCTCCGCCAAATGCCCAGACACTTGCGATATGGGCCCGACTTGCTAATCCGGCACAGAACTTTTATGATTGTTTTCTGAATATATCACCATGGCCACCATCTTTGAAGACTTTGTTCAAGGCCAGCGAATTGGCTCTGGCCCTCGCCTTGCTGCTGCTCTCACTCCCGTTGCCCCCGCCGAGTACCCCCAACGACTCCAATCGTTCTACCGCTTCTCCAATGCTGCCCGTGTATCCTCAGATCTCCGCTATTCGCTCTTTCAGGCGAATGGCTTGAAGCTACCGAAGCAAGAGCAAAATGCATGGATCGATATCTTTTCAACTTACTGGACCGCTGTCGGAGAAATTACCAAATTCACTGACTCCCCGTCAAGCGCGAGCTGGGTTAAGGTCTTCAATTCTTGGAAGGACTTGGCAAATATCCTTATTCGGGGCTATACGAACTTCGGTCTTCAGGCATGGACAGTTCCATGTCTATACGTTGTCGGAAAATACTTGCGAATCTTCGCTATGAAAGCAGATGCCGAACTGTCGTCTCAAGATTCGGTTGCATTCGGAGACAATTTCCAGGATGACATCGCGGCCGATTTTGAAAAGAGTGCGAAGCTTGAGGAATCGGCACGCATAATCAACCGAATGTTTACTTTGTGTCTAAGCGACAGGTGGGTTCCATAGGCGGCCGCATGAGTTGTAGCCCGCTGCTAATCACTGAACCAGAGCCCCGATTGAGGAGTCGCGCAAATGGGGCATATATAATACTACAAATTTGTTGTTCAAAACTTATTTCAAGGTACGGAAAACATTTCCACCACGGCAGTATGTATGTATCTGACAACTATTAGATCAATTCTGTCTCACTTTCCAAAAACCTTCTTCGCGCGCTCAAAGCTTCATCGGCAGACCTTCCAGATATGGAAGTTTTCCCCAAGTCTCACATAGTCACCTTTAAGTATTATGTTGGATTGATCCACTTTCTGGATGAGAACTATGCAGAGGCAAGTAGCAGCTCCGGGCTTTGTCGGTCTCTGAGACTAACTCTTGCGTTCGGACAGGCTGAAGAGCATCTGGCGTACGCATGGAACATGTGCCACAAAGATGCAGTCAAAAACAGGGAGTGAGTTATAGTAACACCCGCTCAAGTAAACTATCTAACTTCTTGGAGGATGATTCTTGCTTATCTTATCCCTTGTCATCTTGTCACAACACATACTCTACCAAGCAAGAAGCTTCTTGCTCCATTTCCCAGACTCGAGAAGCTGTTCCGTCCGCTTTGCAATTGTATCATGAAGGGCGATCTCAATGGTTTCGACAATGCTATGACCGCAGGGGAGGAAGAATTTGTCAAGCGACGCATCTACCTACCCCTCGAACGAGGACGTGACATAGCGTTGCGAAACCTATTCCGAAAGGTTTTCATCGCTGGAGGCTTTGAAGAATCCAAGGATGGCCAGCCGCCAATTCGACGTACACGTGTTCCAGTTGCTGAGTTCGCAGCAGCATTGAGGATAGGTACACATGCAGATGATAGATCTCGTGTCGATATTGACGAGGTCGAGTGTTTGCTATCCAACCTCATTTACAAGGTGAGTTTCGCAAACGTTTCTCATGTAGTATACGTCGTGTATGCTATACGAGAGATCATCGGCCACTGACAACAAATAGGGCCTTATGAAAGGCTATATTGCCCGGGAGCGCGGCATGGTGGTCCTAAGCAAGGGCGGCACCGCGTTCCCAGGAACAGGTGTCTAAGAGCATCCCAGCCAACTTAAGACGAGAGGCATGTTAGCGCCGATTGTCTACACAGTTCCATATTGTCTGCATATACCGTCAAAATCCTCGATCACCAGAGGATCATTATCTGAACGGTCCTGGACGGATCTAGTTATCAACTTGCGCTGCTCAGCGTTTACGACCTCCCCACTAGAACTTCTAGCGCCTTGCGCTATGCGCAAATTTAAACCCTAGGCCAACTTCTACACGACCCCTTGATGGCTAGATTCACAACATAGCTTTTGCTACATGAACAGCAATGCATCATGAAGGACTACTGAATAACAGTGACTCAGAGTCTTCTTGCTCGATTGATAGATTCGACGACTACGCCAGGAGAGAGAAATGGCATCTTCAATGGCTATAAGTTAGGAAGTTTGCATGATTTACGACGATCAGATGCACTGCATTGGCTTCATAATATCAATATTGTACCTAAGGATCTCACATCATGGACGATAGTCTTTCTTTGGCTTACACTTACACTACCATTCCTGGTACAAGATGTGGAGGATTGAAAGCAAAAATAGGATTATATATATTCATATAACTACCACTATAAAAGCACCTCATTCTGTATGAAGTGAATAACGTTGTTTAGCGAAGATCAAAAATGGCATCAAGCCAAGACAGCCTGCGTCGACTCTTAACAAACAGAGCCACAAAATACAAAACGCAGGCTGAAAAATAAAAATAAAAATAAAATAAAATAAAATAAAATCAACCAGTGAATAAAAGTACCGCCCGCATAACATCCCATCATACATTAAAAATATCGGATACACAAGGCACACGAAGACTCCAAACCAGTGGATATCAACAACCCGGAGAAGGCTCAGCCTTAGATGTAAGATCATCCTATTATACACGTTAGTAACAATCACAAAAGAGAGAGAGAGAGAGAACTCACCATGTGATTACACATTGCAACGAAAAGATCAAAAAACAATTTTCCTCCCTGCTCCATCTCCATTTGCATCGTACCGCTTCGCTTGAATGTTGACCGGCTCCGAATAATCAAAGCGAGATAATGCGCCCGCAGCTTAGACTCGTTCTCGGGGGTGTTGCTGTAGGCATAGCGTGCGCTGGTGAGGATGGTACTACATTGAATGCCGGAGTGCAGGCCTTGTTTTCGGAGGGCTAGGCGTTTGAGAAGATCTAGCCCGTATTTATCGGCTGCGCAGCTGGTTTGGGAAGCATGAGGGTTAGTCTGTTGGCCTTTCATGCATGACAAGTACATTGGAGGACCAGAGGCGAAAGCGAAAGGGCTGCAGAAAAAAGACATACTATACAGCCGTATCTCTTAGTATCTCCGCTCCAGCCGCATGATGAAACAAAGTCGCCCCATTACTCTGACCATCCTTATCGGTCCCCGTATCTTCCAACTCCCAGGAATTCAATTGCTTGTTGTGCACTAGCTGGGGGTAATAGTCGCCCTTGTAGAGGTACTCGAGAATACACGAAAAGACTTCCGGTTGCTCATCGGGGAGGTTCACCCGTCTGTTGGGAGAGTCTGACGGCTGGGCTTGGGTATACGCTGCTGCGAAGAACGGGGATACGCAGAGGATGTCTTTGTGGGCTGCGAATAGGCGTTTTTGAGGGCCTACGCAGAGGGTAATAACGGCTGGCGAGAGTGATCTAGCAATATATGATTCGGGTCAGTTTTCGTTTGCGAGAATAAATTGTCACTAGGTATGCGTTGGTCAGGGGGCTCCTACCGTCCATGTGGAGGGCTGGATGAGGCTTGACGCCTGTCTAGACGTCGCGATAATGATGGGCTGTCCCTTAATAGCTGCTGTTTTCTGCTCCGAGATACGACTTTTCCGGCTCCATACTTAGAAGAGAAACTATCTGGGTTGCCGGGGGGTGTGCGTGTACGCCTTGTGGAGAGCATTTTTCTGGGATCGCTACGCTGATGCTGTTCGGTCGGCGTTTGGGAGGGACGATTTCTCTTGTTATGAGGAAGAGATATGGAAAGTATAGGTAACAATGGATTCAGGGGCTCCTTTTCTTAATAAAGCTCAGCGCAAACTGTGAAACGGATGGCGAATACATGTACTGCGTCCGTATGAACGTCCGTCAGTACGGACGGTGGGGAAAAGGGGGTCTAGGGAGTCGAGTCATTCTGTGACCAAGGCGCCGGGGGTGAACAGGGCCTTTTGTATATTTTCTGATTCATCCATCTTTGTTCACATCAGCTCGACAAGGATATCATCTCTTGTCTGTGTCGAGAATATTATCTGCGATGATGATTGGGGACGCGTAAGAATGGGTAATGCACGCGTAAAGTGGTTTTGTGCATCGCCAAATGTCCGCGCAGTCACGGGGCAGCCATTGCCCAATTACGTTACGGAAAAGGGAAAGGGGGTGTGGATCCCAAGGCTGCAATGGGCGAATTGTTTGCTTCGGTTTGGACTGGAAACTGATACATCCATTGAATTTGGACGATCTCTTACTTGCATGTCTCATGTGTTGGTGCACTTACAGATTCCTCTGCTGGTAAAACTTGAAACAGAATTGGATCTATCATTAATAGGGGAAACGTGGGGTTAATCGCATCTCGATCCTTTTGCTTTCTTATCTAACGAATTTCATTCGTAAAGCTTTTCAAACGTCACATTGAAGTCAATAATTAAATCATGGCATTGATAGATATATGCTTGGGCTGTCAATATGCATAGCCCCTAAAACCATGTCCAGTCCGAAAGTTGCCCATCACCTTAAACGCCATAGGTAACATGCTCACGCTCCCGATTTCGATTCTCATATCCAGTCCAAAACTTGATGTGTGTAGAGATGTCTCGCCATTACGCCATTCAAATACTGCAACAAAAAATCCCATATCTATTTTGTCCTACAGGAAGACCTTCTTCGCCTCCCGCGGATGACTTTCATTGGGGCAATAAGGACACTTGAATCTACTACCCTTGCATAACCGTTTAAGTGACTCCTCTGCGATGACATGACCACAGGGCATCATCATCGGGGGATTGTCATCAGTGGTTTGTTCCTTGGAAACGGGGCAGACGAAAATAGAATGGAAGAGATACGACGGTGGAAGCGGTATTTCGACCTAGATTGTACACAATTAGTGGAAAATAGCACAGGAAAGACACCAACTGCGCTCACCGGAAGCTCATTTTCCGTGGTCCACTCTGTCCGCTTCGCTTTCATGATGGTTTGCAGTTTTAGTAACGTCGGCAGAGCAATCGCACCGGCTGTAGCAGCAACGTATAGAGGCGAATCAGCAGATAACCCGAGGAGAGAGCAGAATTCACGAGTGAAAGAGTGTGCCACATCTTCCCATGCAGAGGGGTTGTTGAAGATGGCCCTGTAAGGAGAATCTTGCAGATTGGGACAGAAAGCCATGGCTCCCATAAGCTGTTGGACTTCCCGGAGATACCTCGGCAAGAAACCCTGGAACTCGCGCCTGGCGTACTCCAAAGCCTCTTGCCGCCCTGTTGGAATAGGTCCCTGCTTATCAGGTCCACCATGGAAAAGCCAGACAAACTGCAACCGGCACAGTTCGAATTCCAGGTTACTTCCTCTGGCTTCCAATGCTTCCCTATTATCCCTTGACCATTGGATTGCCGGGAGCAAGTTATTGTTCTCTTTCATTTCATGTAGGATGTAATACATGGTGGCAAACTGTTTCCGAACCTCGCTGGACGGGACTTCATCTATATCCAAGAGCGTCGCTGCATTTTCCGAGGCACTCGTACCCGCTTGTTGTTGTGACTCCATGGCCCTCTTCTCCGCCATTTCGGAAAGGAACGTTGCAGCGACAGAAAATTGTCCTTCTCGGAGGAGATGCATTGCGATAGCTCGGTTGATGAGGTGCTCTTGGGAGGCGAGGGCATCGTGTTCGGTACTTGGAAGCGGTCTGTCTTTAAAGAGCTAATGAGGATATAAGTAATGCGCTCTTGAGCTCTCAGTCTCTCCTGTGACCGGGATTTGGGAGACGATACCTTATCTAAAGCCTTTGAATACTTGTTGAGGCTGCTATGAGTGTCCTTGAGGCTGTCATTTATTGAGTCGAAGGACGACTTCACAGAGTTCTGAAGCTTGGCCAATGTCATAGATGTCTGACTCGGATCTAAGCAGTTATAAGTAGTCAAGAACTATTTGTTCATGATTGGTTTGAGTGTTAAGCGGGGTGTGAAAGCTAATCGCGGGCATCTGAAACTAAGAGAGGTGAACCAACCGGAAGCAATGGCATCTCGTGCAGACTGTAGTAAGTCTATAGTTGTTTGAACATTCTTGATGCCCTGAGCAGCTTTGATCTTCTTCCCAAGACGTTCATGCTCCTTCTGAACAAGATCCATGGTGGTGAAGCAGGCGATTTCTGGAAAGTCGTGAGTAGTGATAAAAGCGGAGTTCGACAAGTTACCGCCGTGATATGGCGATAGCCATACGGGGGCTATAGTTGAAGTTCCAGTATTTAAATATATGCTGAAATAGCAAATAAATACCAAGTAGCAGTTCCTCTAGTAGATCCAGCTAGCTAGGTCATCTGGTTCATGCAGTGGAGGTTGTGTGAGTCGGTTGAAAGGTCATTTGCTCTATCGTCGGAGGGACGGCATTACGACATGTACTGTCACGTGCCCCGGGGTAGGAGGGATGCTTCCCCTTTACCCCTCCTGACAACGCTGCCAACGTATCAGTCAAGGGGCTACTGTGAAACAGTGAGGAGCGGATGACACTTGAAAGTGTTTGTCGTGTCTCTCTCCTTTACTCCAAAGCCCACAGAGTCGTAGTTTGTCTACGGATCGAATTTCGCTATTCTGTATATAAGCTTAAGCTGAAGAAGAATCATTTTCTGAAGCAATTGCTCTTCTTCTTCAGGAATACAGTGGAGCAAGAGCCCAGAGCGTAATTGGCTACTTGTAACCAAGACAGGCATGGGAATTAGTGTCCACGGGTACTAGGTGGCTATCGTACAGAGTAGATAGGTAGACACAATACGAATCGAAAGATGCGGCCTCCTGTTCTCAGTAGTACGTAGATAGGTGTACGAGTCGGCTACGACATGGCTGTAATACAAGGGCCCGTCACTTGCTCTGCAACATAGCAGGCTCCAGTTTGATTGTACTACTCAGTGTTCTTGGCCATCTACTGTGTATGGATAGGTCACGGGTACTACCTGTTCTGCACTAATGAGAGGTCCATGACTTCTGGAGATGATGGATGTGTGACCCGACTGCAGTTACAACCAATCACAATCGAGGGCTTACCAGATAAGCAGCTCGCTTACGCTAGCGCGCCAGTAAGGTCTTGGCGTGTGTATATAATGCCGGGACACCCGCCAACCCTTTAGGATCTTTTTTCTTTTCCTCTCCATCCTAGTGCACGGGCAATACACGTATCAGTGAGGAGACATCCGAGATCGTGTTTTTGCTAGTTGAAAACTATTTTTTTGACCGCTTCAGTTGGCCTTAGGGTCGGCTGGGAATTTTTGAAAATAAACTGCCCTGACTCATATTTCTATGAGCCAGTCTAAGAGTGCATCTTGTGGCATCTTTGACACGATCCATTTGGGAAGTACTCGAGAATCTCGGTCTTCTTTTCACTGCTGTTTGCCTCCCATGTTGGAGGCCTGTAGAGAAGAGGAGTTCGTATATCACAAATCTTGTAGATAGTATGTAATAAAAGTCCACGCTCTCCATGGACTGCAGCGCTTAGGAAGGTTCTCTACGTACCCGTGACTACCTAGTAGCGCTCGCAAACTACTTTTGACACACTTGATGTGTGGCGGTGCGCTCAACCCCTAATTCTCAAAATACATATTGTGTGGCTGACGTGCCGCTAGGCAGCTGCTTTTCCTTACTGGTGCTGAAGATGTGGCGTTCTATACCCTGGGCTAGAAGCGTCTTCACATGTTGACTAGTGATAGAGTTATTAGTAGCAATCAATTTTAAGTCATGAGAGAATCTGGACAATGGTTGAATTGAGATTTGTTGTGGCTTAGCCGCTCACCGCTTCCATAAATATGGACATTTGTGACGTCGCTGAAGACAATGGCAACAGAACTCCCCCTCTCTATACCATCTTTGTCTGGAGACCATACTTTCTACAGGCCGTCTACAAAGTTCAAACGCCATGGTTGACCCGTACTCCCGCTTCTCGTCCCCACGTTTCAGACTATAGGTCCGCAAAGACCTCCACATTAACACACCTCGGATATGTCACCATCTTCTCCTGCTTGCTGGACAGAACGACACAGACCCCAGGAGGGTCAACCCTTTTCTTTCCCCTTACGCTGCGCTTGGTCTCTGGGTACCCTCGTGGTTACGTTCCTCGTGGTTCTTTAGTTCAAACCTCAAGGACATGAACCTTCATTCACTACCACCTCGGTAGGAGCTTCTTGTTTCTACCATGTCGCAAACCGCAACGCAAAACGGCGCACAGGCTGCGCTTTCTACTACTACTACCATGCAGCGCGAGACTACGAAACAATCAGTTGCCCCCAAAGAAAGCCCTTCGTCCCAGAATGACCCTGACGGGCAGCCGTCTCTCCCTGGTCACCAAAGGCTCGTCTTCACCGATCCTGTCGCGCTCCGATACCTTGAAGAAGACCCTTCGACGATTGTGCTGCATCGACGTTTGGTTCTCCAGGGCTATGAGATATACATTGTTGAGCAATGGGCATGTTCGAGGATTCATCCTACTTTTATAATTACGACTTATACGGGAGAGCCTTCACACAAAGTGGTAGCGGGACTGCTAAGCGTTCCTACAGATGAATCCACTTGGTCTCCCCGTTTGAAACTATATTTCGATGCAGTTACAGGATGTGAAGCACGCAGGAAAGAGACATCGTTTGGAACTCTGTTCATAACTGATTTGAGCACATTTCCTTCGGCTCTTACTGTCATCCCGGTGCCTGAAGGTGATATCTATAAACACAAGGATGATTTTATTGTGAACGAAAATTTGAAACGGCTGAACTGTTCGGGCCGAGCGGGCTTAAAATTACAACCACCAACGGCCGCAACTGAAGCCAAGTTCTACCATCTCTACCGGACCAGTGAGAGAGTCCCGCTTTATTTGGCCGTTGTAGAGCTTGTGAAGCAGTGTCAGATTGCCTTGATGATGTTTGGCATTCTGGCTCCGGAGTATGTCGATGGAATCTTATGTGATGTGACAGAAGCAGCAATTGGCGACTGGTGGACGGACATTGGCATGGATCTATACAATATTGAACCCAGCGATGGTGTTTTGGGACCAACTACCGTAGCCGCGCTGCTAGGGACGCTGATGGGGGCTCGAAACCGGCTTCACGCTTTTGGTGCTCCAGTTGGCAAAGATGCCTTTGATATCTCTAACTTAAAAAGAGGAATCAGTAGCTTCCAGAAATCCCAAAAGCTGAAGCGGACTCGGAGGTTGGACCGTCAAACATTGGACCGACTTCATCGGGTCACTGCAAAGGCCGCAAATGCGGAGGGCTGGACCGATGCTGTGAAGTCAACTATGGCTGAGTTGAGTGGCCATGGAGGCGAGATGGTCATGGGTATGGTGCGGGGTCGGGAAAAGGGCGGCATCGCTGATATTGAAACCCTAGATGTTGACAACTTCGCACAGTTAGTCACGGGTGAAAGAGCAAAGTGGCTTTGGAGAGGAAAACCACGCAAGGGCGGTGTTGGAGATGGCTTTGCTGGAGGACATCCAGGTGTAGACATGATGTTTACTACCGATGATCAGGGTGGATACCTATGGACCAGTCGCAAACGAAGTTCCCACGATGATTTGGTCGCCGAACGGTCTTATCAGGGGTCGGAACGTCCAGGAAGACCTCTCGAGCTAGTTAACACCGCTGATGATAAAGATCAGAATATAGGCAGGTTGGTACGACGAGGCGTCAGTGGAAAAGTGTCAGATGCGCGGGCTGGGTTTGGCAGGTTTAAGGATGGCCTACGGTCACACCTCCCGAAGACAAAGGATGATGCGAATCTCGTTAGTGACGCAGCTTGTATTCCTCCATTAGAGAGCGACACTGAGATGGTCCTTTCAAAGATCACTTCTGATGGTGGTCGACAACCCGAACCTGAGAGCGTTCCTGACAACGAGATGCCAACCCAGCCTCACGAACTGAACACCGAAACACCGCTTAATAATTTTGTGCCAAAGTCATCCGATGTCAAACTCCCAGCTATAACAATTGAACCTGTAACGTCAAACGAGCCCTCCGATAGCTCCCAGAAGGTGTCTTTAGCTCGGGAAGATGAGGAGTCGCAAGATCTGGAGCGGTGGAAGACGCGATCAACCTACGCAGCCGCAGAAGATCAGACGTCAGAGTTTGGCATCATGTCATTGCGCCGGCCGCAGAGCAGTGCTGAACTTTATCGTGCAGACGACACTGAACATTTGGATAATTACTGGCCGCGACATCTGTCGTTCAGTACTGTCGAAGAAGTTGTGCTGGGATGGGAAGAATTGAAGGGGATGGCTGAAGGCTCTGAAAACCCCGACGCCACCCTGGAAGAAGCTATTGCCGAAGAGGATGTGCTACTGTCTGACGCGCGAATATTCAGCTCCAGAGTTCAAGGCTTGAGCGAGAGCACTGTTCCTTGGGTTGAAAAGCAAGTGGGTTCAGTGGACGACCTGAACCGAGTCCTTTACGAAATGCATGAAAGGGTCAACACAACCTATATGGAGAAGCTCTGCCAATACCAAGGGATTCGAGAGCGATCATGCGATCTACTGTCTGAAGAACACTCCTCACTCACGGACCACATGAGGCGGGTCGAGATGATGAGCGCAAAACTAGATTACGAGCTTAATGTCCTAGGGTCCAAGGTTGAGGAAGTCGAGACTGGGCTAGGTGAGTTCGAGAGACACATTGAGGAGATAGAAACAAGGGTTAAGACGCTGGTCCGTGGGGAAGAAGAAAAGCAGAACTGTTCCTGGCTTTCACGGTTAGGAAGATTCACTGGGTTCTCTTTGTAATTGATTTTGAGCCGGCACCTGTAATGTAATACTGTGACATATATTCACTTCTATTGTACATAATATGGAAAAAATTTGATTAACCATGCCGTGCGCAGAACCATGACCCCGACCCAAACACTTCTATCATCCCAGCACTCATCTTGCAGACTGCGATCATAACCAGCCGGCATAGAGTGCCCCGGAATCGACAATCTTGAGAACTAAACCCAAATGCAACACTTCCCGGCAAAAGATGATCTCTGAAACCCAAGGCAAGATCCGCGCCTGACACGAGCAACATAAAGGCAAACTCGAGCGTAAAAAGAACATAAATTATGTTTCGGAAGGGAGGTTTGTCCATGAGGCAGCAGACTTCTCATCCATTTACATGCTGAATCCCATACCGCCGCCCTGCTTGTTGGCGGCTTCGCCCTGCATCTTCTCGCTGACCTTGATGTTGACTTCGAAGAACTTGGACACACAGCGGTCGAGGCAGACGGATTCACCCTTGTTCAGGTCGCCCTCACGGTAGTCGTTGGGAATGCACTTCTTGGTGCAAGATTCGGTCAGACTAAGCAGATTGTCGGCATTAGCATCGCTGTCCATTGGAATATTGGGTCGCATTTGTGAACGGCAAATCGAAGACAATTTCAAGGCATTATAATCTTGAGCGAGAATCGGGAGTGTATCAATGGGCTCACCGGTTGAACATGTCTGAAATCATCTCAACTTCGGTCTCAGCGGCAGCAATCTTCTCTGCCGAGGACATCTTGGGGGGGCCGCCAAAGAGGAAAGACATGGTGTTGGTTGCTAAAGGGGTAATTGGAGAATAACTAGGAAGATATTAGCTTTGATAATAACTAATCAGGAGACTTTTACTGACAAATTTTAGAGAGAAGTTCTGATGCTGGTATCGAGGATGGAGGTAAATGTTGTCTGGAATGATGGTTAATCGGAAGTTCCAGTCGGAAGCTAGGACCACCTTCACCGCCTTCAAACGATTTTTCTTTGGCGTTTCGCTCGCTCTGCTTTTTTAATCCCACACACTCTCTTCCCGTCCGCGATGTGACGGACTTCGTAGTCTTCCATCACCTATCCATTGCAAATGCATTCAGTTCGCCCCAGGTGGGCTTCACAGTTGGTCTCCGGGAGACTTTGGTCAAGGTAAGAACCATCACTTGCGCCTTTCTGCTATTCTCTTCCCCTGCAAAGCCATCCGAGGACGAATCAGATCCCTTCCAATTCAGAACCGCTGCAGTATGACGCCTGCAAACAGGCAATGAACGCAACGGAAGCTACTTTTTGACTCTGACTGGATTCAATTGCTTGATATTGTTTTCTCTTCTCCGTTCACGCACTTTATGGCCTTGATCCTGTGCTAATTGTGAATGATCAGAACAAGATTGCCCGTCTCTACCAGTGTAAAATGGTCTTACTCTTCGAGAGCTCAGCTGGCCCAAGCAATTAACCATCCCTCCATTGTTTCTATAAGCACTAGGAGTAGCAGCAGTGCAGCCTCGCCTGAAAGGGCTTTCAAGGAACGGTTACAAGAGGTTCAAAATGTCTGTCCTGATCCGTATCCTCGCCTAGCAGCAGACGGTCGCTCCGTGAGCTGCTCGGAATTCCGCGACCGATACAGCCACCTAGAAAATAATGAAACAGTAGAAGGCGACTCCGTCGTCGTTCGTGGTAGGTCTCAGCCTTAGTCGGCTCTACCTTGTTGTCTTTTGTACTTAGGTTAGTTAGGTAGGATACGTACGTATAGACTTGCTGGAAGCAAATTGATCTTCTTCGATATCGTGCAAAATGGCCACAAAGTTCAAGTTATGTGCAACCTTCGTCAACTGCCTGGGATAACCCCGGAAGCCTTTAAAAAGCTCTACCGTTTGCTCCGCCGCGGTGATGCTTTCTGTACGTTTCCCACCAGCCACCTCAGTATGTTCACTTGGGCTGAACTCTTCCCATAGCCGTAACAGGTAGACCTCACCGCACTGGACGAGGAGAGCTCACAGTTGTGGCCACTGAATTGCCTCAGCTTTTGTCTCCTTGTCTCCATGATGTCCCCCTGGACGCGAAAGAGCACGAGAACTCGCCATACCCCCGTCATGTCCAGTTCCTTGCCGACCAAACTACGGCCGACATTATCAAGGCACGCTCGGCGATCATCCAGTATCTGCGTCAATTCTTCCTCGATCGGTCCTTTATGGAGGTCAACACTCCCATCGTCAATTCGATCGCCGGTGGAGCCATCGCTCGTCCCTTCTATACTTCTGCGACCGAATTTCCCGACCGTCAGCTGTCTCTCAGAATTGCACCAGAACTATGGCTGAAGCGCCTAGTGGTTGGTGGTTTCGATAGGGTGTTCGAGATTGGGCCCTCATTTCGCAATGAAGGTCCGTTACGCTCTCTCCATTCCATGCTCTGTTGTAAAGTTATCATGGGCGACTGACGTTCCATAGGCATCGACAAGACCCATAACCCTGAGTTTACAACATGTGAATTCTATCATGCTTATGCCAACCTAGAAGACCTACTGTCTATGACAGAGAGTCTACTGTCTGGCATGGCACAACATATTCACCACTTTAACAAAGACGGTACTCTGAAGCCCACCGAAGTTGATTTCTCAACGCCGTTCCGTCGTATCGATTTCCTCACTGGCATTGAAGAGAAGATCGGCCGCAAGCTCCCAGATCTCACATCCCCAGATGCCGTGGTCCAGGTGAAACAACTGTTCAAGGACTTATCGCTGGAGATTCCCGACGCTCCCACACTTCCCCGACTTTTGGATGAACTCTGCAGCATCTATGTGGAACCCGAATGCATAAACCCGACCTTTATCATCAACCCTCCTGAATGTCTATCGCCCCTGTCGAAATCTTTTATCCATCCGGTCACCGGCCAGCGTGTTGCTGCACGGGGAGAGCTGTTCATCGAGGGAAAGGAGGTGGTGAATACTTACGAGGAAGAAAACTCGCCATCGGAACAAAGACGCAAGTTCGAAGACCAAGTACGCTACAGCAAGGATGCAGACGAGTCTGCCGAGATCGACGAGAGCTACCTTGAGGCGCTGGAATGGGGTCTTCCCGCTACAGGCGGCTGGGGATGCGGGATCGACCGACTCTGCATGCTCTTCACCGGCGCGAAGAGGATAGCAGATGTCCTCCCCTTCGGGACCCTACGTGCCGTGACCCGGCGATGAAACTTCTAAGCTGGAAATGCTTGCTGTCATAGGTATCTGGATAGCCCAGTCTCAACTGTACAATAGCAACCTCAATATGTGAAACTATATACAAACCAGTCATCATAATAAAAACCTCTCATCTCAACCACCACCCTAATAAGTCCTCGCCACGACCTCCCTGGCAAACTCCCCAAAACTCTTCCCGCTCTCCACCTCCTCTTCCAAATTCGGCTGCGTGAACACCGCCAACGTATTCCTCGCGATCCTCTCCCCCGCAGAAGGCTTCGCGCCCTTGACAAAATGCGGCACCGCCCTAAACTTCCCCCTCGTAATAAGCTGCAGCGCCTCCCCGGTCTGAAAAGCCAAACAATCCCTGGGGATATTAACCTTGACCACGTCGCCCGTGCGGGACTGAATATAAAGCCCAGCCTTGGGATCCGGCGAAGCGCCCAACTCAGCAAGCTGCGCTCCGTGCACGGGGGGAGTCGCAAGCTCATCCACAAACATAGCGGAAGTCAACCCGGTCAAACACCCATGATCCAAATGCGTCGCGCACCAATCATCATCCCCCTCTCCGGCGTCGGAAGCACCCTCCTCGGCCGGAAAATAATGCAGCAACCGCGCCTTGGTCGTCAAACTCGTCCGCACAACATGCTCCAAATACCCGCTCTTGTAACCCTCGATGTTCGCCGTCGCGTAGCATCGCACGCCCGCGCCACCAGCGCCGCCGTGTCGATGATAAGCGTGCAGAGCTGTTCCAGCGCCGGCCGGAACGTCGGCAGGCGCTCTGCCGGCGGCCAGATGTTCGGCGCCGTGTACTCGGATAGATCGGGGAAGTTGTCGGCCGGCGCGCCTTGCAGCGATGCGTCTTGGTAGAATGCGCAGTTGACGTAGTACGAGCCCTTGAGCGTGTCGAAGTGGCCGGAGCGCAGGGTTTCTTTGCCGCAGGACCAGCCTACGAGGTATTTTGCTGATGGGCTGGTTAGGGATTCTAAGTTTTGGTTGTGAGTGGTTAGTTGGGTTTTGGGAGGGGAGGCGAGTTTGGTTTGCTTTGGGGGTGGATGTGTACCTAGTTCGTCGTTGGGGAGGGCGGCGAGGTAGGATGCGTTAGAGAGGACTTGGGTGCGTAGACGTTGGAATTCGGAGTCGAGGTCTTTCACGACGATTATGCCTAGGGAGGAGGGGCCGAAAGCTTCGGTGAGGGTTTCGAAGGAGACGGTGCCTGGGCGTTGAAGATTAGTTTATGTAGGTTCCAGTTGTGGACGGGGTTTTGTATAGTATAGTATATATCAAGCTATGGTGTTTCTGGTGCTTGCTTACCATCGATGAGGTCTTTGAGACTCACTGTTACGGCTTGGGCTTGAGGTACGCCGTCTAGACCCATTGTTGCGATTGTAATCCTGTGGCTTGTGAGGGTGTAATCAGATTGATTAGTATGCAAGAGGATTCTCGTTGAAGATATATTGTTGCCCCTCCCAAGAAATTTTTTTATATATATATTCCCCGCCTTTTAGTCAAGGTAATGTAGTATTTGGCTGGCGGGCCAATCCGGTGCCTTCTAGAGTGCCGGTTATCTGCGGGATTTCTTGCTCTTATCGCATGATAAGACATACTGCAATACATATGTACATACATAGGCACAGAAAAGATGGTGGTAGAAGATTAATCGTATGTATGTATGTTTATCCTTCCCTAATCTACAATAGTCACATAAAAGAGCATGTTCAAGACCAGGACGCTGTGGTTCATCCCCATAAGCGAACCTCCTAATCGCAATTGATTCAATTGTCAACCTCGGTCCTGCGCTAGGGATCAATGTCGAGAGAGTGCTTGACGTCTGAACTCACGAAGCGAGCGAAGAGCACCGGCTGGAAAGAGCTTCAGAGTATCCGTGATCAAAGATCTCCTGCTTCGTCCGTTTGCCCTAGGGCCCAGGGCTTGGCTTGTAATCGCCTTCCTCCGATTCGTCCGTTCCTCCTGGGAGTTGGTCCATGGCCAATGCAAAAACTTCATCTGATCCAGAGGTATCGTCCTCATTTAGCAGGATGGGCCCTTCTTCGGAGCTTACAGGGTTGCTCACGTCTGCGGCCCCAAGACCCGTACTGACCAGCTTGCTAAGCTTGCCGATCTCTGAAAAGTTGGACCGAGCCTTCGAGGGTCGACCGACATTGCCGGGAAGCCTGGCCAGGCGAAGATCCGCCGAATCCGCCGTGCCATCGAGAATTCGGAGATTTGCTCCCCACATCTTGATTTCACGGGCCTCGCTGTAGTAGCCCACATCCTGGCCATTGAGAGTATCAATCGCGAGAGTCTGAGTTCGAAAGTCGCCCCAGAACCAGTCTTTTCCTTCGGGAATACGTTCATCGACTTTCCGTGAATACTCCCTCGCCTTGATCACCCCCGACAGATCCAGCCCCAGAGAGCAAGACCCGAATAAGAGGTTCATAGCATCGGGATCGTAACAGCGACCAATTATCATATTCTGCGAGACTTCCACCGTTGCGCCGTTCCACGCCCTGTACCAAGATCCATATCCACCCATGCCAATCGATTGAAAAACGTCAATGACTTCCTCGGGTCTCATAGGCAATGGTTGGCTCGTCCCGTCGGTCCCAGCACTCGATATCCGGGGAGCGTTCGTATAGACCTTTCCTGCAACTCGAACCTGATATCGCTCTGCCAGTTGGTCCGACGTGAGATTGCTCACGCAATTGACAAGCTCCAGGCGTATTTCGTCAATGACCATAACATCCTCAACGGCGTCATGGCCTTCATACGAGTCAAACTGGCGCTTTGGTTTCAAGCGGACAGCATCGCCAACCACCAAGAGCTCTGCTCCGATGAAAATACCTCGGCAATAAATCGCTGCGTTCGGCCAAGCTCCTTTAAAGTGATATTTGTCCAGAAGACTGAACGACGACATGATCGTCATCGCATACCCGATGGACGGATGTAAATTTTCGGGCGGAATCCCTTGCAGAAAGAGCTCGTATGCGTTGAAGGGCTTGATACACTGCAGACGGATATATTTGTAGTGTAATGAGTAGCTCTTGTCGTAACTTTGAGGATCAGGAAAGGTTTCAACGCGAAAGCCAGAGTAGTTGACATCCCATTTTTTGGGCGCCGTTTTCACTAAGTCCTGAAGGACTATATCTTCTTCTGGCGTCTGGCCTACAATACCAGCCCGCCATTTGGGGGTTCCTAACCATCGGTCTTCATCGGGGGAGTACATTTCGATGCACTTGTTTTCGTGGTTCCAGGCTAGTTCCCCCTGACACTCCGGAGCCCAGAGTACAACTTCTCCGGGTCGAGGAACGTAGGAAGGCTGCATGCCTAACTGCTCAATATATTCGTCAAGTGCTGTCCTCTCGGCCCTCCAGTCCATGCTCTCATTTTCTTTTATTCTCTCATCCAGAACCCCACGTTCTTTGAGCCTTATGACGGCCATCTTGAACACGTCCGGTGTTCCTTCACTGTCAAAGATACCGCGCACTCCGGCCGCAGCAGACCTACCAGGCGGTCTTCCGGGTGGCCTACCAGATAATTTACCATATGGTCGTCCAGGAGGTCGTCCAGGAGGCCGCCCAGGAGGCCGATGTGGTGTCCCTCCAGGGGGCGTGTCGACCGACCTGGCAATATTGGAACTTCCTCTCCCTCGTCCTCTCCCTCGTCCTCGTCCTCGTAGGGAACCATTTAACATCGCTGGAAGTACATTAGCGAAAAGGTTTGAAACTAAAATACTGAAGGAGCACCGAACCCTGTTCACGCTTTGCTACTTTGTCACAAAGCATGCAATGGCAAGGTCCCGCCGCGCCCGTCATCAGATGATAAAAGTGTGGAAAGAACTGGAGTATCGAAGGGAAGTATTGCCCAATTGGATGACCCCAAAGGAATCTATCACGCTGAGTTGAATACTGTTAGACCTAGAGAAGTTTTGTACAATAGTAGGACAAAGACTTACAATGGTAGGATCCGTCCCACGCGGTCTATCAAAGAGGGCGTAACCATCTGGCAAGCGGTTGAGCATATATCTCATCCCTGAAGATCAATGCTTAGCTAGAATGAAGTTGAGGACCATGTGTGAATTTTAATCGACAAAAAAGCAAAGAAACCAGTGCAAAGCAACCACAGGAACAATTTTAGACCCAGGATCTATCTCACGCGTCGAACGGCAAAATATGGCGAGATGGTGAATGGAGATACACAATATAATATCAAGCAAATTCAAAAGCAGTGAAATAAACAGCGTGGCGTAAGGCATAGCCAGCCGATCTTGAGCTCAGGCGAGCAAAATTGGTACTAAAGAGGACTGCTGTTCATGATGGGGAAATGCTGCAATAGTAGGGACGATCATGACAGCTGCTAGAATCAATAGATGGCAACAAAGTCGTAGTAGAGATTAGAGAATAGAAGTGATCCATACCCTCTTCATATGTTCCAATTTTCTGCAGCCATAGCATTGCCAATTTCTCCCGGTAAGAGCTATCATCCGGCATGCCAAACCTGGCTTCAGTGGGCCAAGTTGACTTATCCCCATCGCTGACAGATCCTATAGGGATTATTACTACATTCTCGCTCTCGTACCCTTCCTCTACCAGGGGTGGTCGTTGTGGCAGGGACATTTTAGTAGAGAATTGAAGAAGCTGACACCTTTTTGGAGTATCGGACTTTAATTTAGAAGTAGTGTAGACATGCCATTCTTAAGAGGAGAAGAAATACTGATTGGTCAGATAGCGCATGACCTTAGGTTATTTTTCAGAGAAGTATAAGGGTGGATCTTCTGATAGATGTAAAAATAATTCTTATTTTGATTTCCGTAAATCAAAGCTGCGATGATCCGCTGTGCCCCTTCTGAGTGGCCAGTGGTCATGTGACTATATATGGATACAAACAATGAAATGATGGTGATTGATCAATCCTACTGCAGTAAGGTAGAATCAAAGAAGACTCAAGAACCACCAGAATTCACATAAATCTTAATTTCCATTGAATAGTGAGGCGTGGTGGGTGGCAGCCACTACAGCACCCTGACTTCTATCTCAAGCACATACCAATACGTCCAAAACATTATATACTCACTGCTCTTGCCCCGTTCCAAAATCAACATTAGTTCGAAGATTCCTCGACCGCTTGGCTTTCAGTTGCCTCCGGCTCTTCTGTATATGGCGGTGGGGCCAGCTCTCCTTCCTCAACCCAAACCTTACGTAGTTCGCTCTCGATCTCCTCTCGGCGTTGTTTCCATTCATCAACCTTATCCAGCCGCTTACGAAGTTCTTGCAGCTCTTTCTCAACATTCATCTTCTCCTTGGCCGTGCCAATCCGCTCAAACTCCCACTGTTCCCCTTCGGAGCCCAGTCCAAGGGTGAGGTTGTAAGTGTGATACTTCTTGAGAGACGCACGTGTAGAGATCGTGATGAGCGTAATTCCACGCTCCTTGGCCCGTTCGTACAGCAGGCCCTCAACATCCGAGGAGACAGCAGACGTCCCTTCGTCGAGGAAGGCGTAACGGGGCTCATGATAGTAGAGACGTGCCATAGCCATTCTTTGCTTCTCACCACCGCTCAGGACATCCTTCCACTCCTTCCGAGAATCCCATCCACCCTCGCGGGTAGGGAGGTAACCTAAGTGGGCATCATCCAAAATCTTTTGGAGACCTGCGTCCGATATACCTCCGTCACGCATGTCGACCTCCGTGTGAGGGTAGATGACTTGGTCACGCAGAGTACCCACACTGAGGTAGGGTCGTTGGGGGAGGAACATGATTCCATCCAGCCCAAATCCCCTTGGTCGACTGACTAACCCACGATAAACCGGCCATAGACCTGCTATTATACGAGCAATGGCAGATTTGCCAACGCCGTTCGGTCCAGAGATAAGAAGGTGATCTCCAGAATGCACAACGAATGACAGTGACTCAAGAAGCTCATCGCCACCATGAGGATAGAGAGATGGTGCGACGATTGGAACATGTTCGAGACGCACTCCATCAAAGCCATTGTGGATGGTACCCTGCGCATCTGCCAGAGAGTACAACTCCGCATGGGAGCCACGTGGAGGGTAATATGCGTCTGCATGAACCCTATGGAGGGTCGAAATCAGTGTGTAGACACGCGAGGTGTAACCAGCCAGTTCCGAAATGTCCTTGATACTGTACATCATTCGGCCGCCGGCATCTGCTAGAGACAGCATCAGCCGTTTGTTCGTGATGAACTCCTTCATACGGCCCCGTTCTCGTCCGACCGTTTCAGGTGTATCGGCTAACTCCAGGGCGCCACCTAGGCCACCCCAGGCAGGGAGAAATACAGGCAAAGACGTGATCAGATAGCCGAAGGCAGACCAAGAATATTTCAAGATAACATCCTCGAGCATATTATAGCGAATCTTCAAGCTGTAAATACCCTCTAGCCAGCGCTGAAGATCCTTGAAGCTTCTCGTCAAAAAGACTCGCTCGATGTCAGCTCCCCCATAGAACGATATCTCCTCAGCATTCGCAAGCAATCTGGAGTGAAGCCCTCTGAAGTCTCCTTCCTTTTTGCCCTCCACAGCCTTGAGCTTGCCGAACGGAGGTGACAGTTTGCGCAGAACAATTGCAGTGCTGAAATAGCCCGTGAGGATTCCGCTAAGGGCCAAAGGCCCCAGAGAGCGGTACAGTTGATAATTAAAGACAAATAAATCCACCAGTGGTTTCCCCATGGAGGAATACAGAGCTGCGGCTGCAGAGCAGAAGAGTGTGAGATCCTGCGTGATGAACTGGTCCGCACCCTGACCGATGCCACCGTCCAGATTCATCAACTTGTAATAGTTGTCATCACCGGTGAGGTACAGATCGTGAATGTACCGGGTGAGTCTCGTTCGAAATGCGATAGACACCTTCGACTGCAGGAACTTGATCATGGCATTCGTATACGAAGCAAGTGTGCCAATGCCACACCATTTAACAATACCCCACATAAACGCTCGGCCCTTCCCTGCAACGAGATCTCTCACAATCTCGCCATCTAACCTTGCAATTAACAGCGATAAGTACGTTCGTAGCAGTAAAAATACGCCATGACCCATGAGGAGGCCGGTCTCCTTACTACCCCATCTAGGGACCATGATACTTCCAAGACTAAGAAACTGGTGAAGGAAAGCGAGGTTCAGGCCCGGCTTAGTTGTCGGTGGTGGGATCTGGTTGGATTCGCCATCTCCAGCGCGAGCTGGAGCTGGGGGGTTTAAGAATAGCCTCCGGTGCGCATCAAATGTCGTAGGTTTCGTTGGGTGGATAGTAACTTTAGATGTCAGAGAATCTTTGTAAGGCACGTATATGGTGCGAGAACCATCCTTTCCCCTAATTCCGGAGTTTCGCCGTAACAATCGTCTGCCCTGGGCGCGTTCCTTCGCCCTCTGGCGTAGTCGTTTGTAGCCTCCATATCCAGTTGCTATGATCGAGAGCAGTAGCGCAGCGGTAGCGATCAGCTTGGTTGTTTTCGATGAACGCTTAAACCGAGAACGAAACAAGTTGAGGTAGTAATGGTATAGCGTGGCGAGGGGATCCTCCCGCGAGCGTAGTGTTGATTGGGCGGCCATTTTGACTTAATTACTGGGCCACTTGGAGTCGAGCGGGTAGCTCACACAGCGCCCTTCCTTAGGCCAAGGCGACATAGGCCATGAGGAAAGCGTCTGAGTAGGACGCGTCTGAGAGTTGTATGGTGAGTGTTCAGTCAAGGTCGTGAAGGAGTATAGTAAAAGAATGGATTCGTTCACGGATAAGTTGGCGATCTGCCGAACAAGTCACATTATGGGTGCTGCTGACGGCATCGCGCAGTTGCATGTGAAAACCTCGGGTCGATTGTTGAAATTGCGGAGTGGCGGAGGGCTCACGTGCGGGCTTGTTTCCCCAGATTTCAACCCCGAAGAAAAAGAAAGAATGATGTTTAGGGTTCATTTGTTACAGAGCAGAGAAATAAATGGAAAGGAAAAAACCATCACGTAGATAGCCATTTTCTATGGCACCTAACATATCGTTAAAATTATTCAGAAAATATCATCAAAGTATCATTATGTGTGATGCTATATTCCTTGAGCCACGTGGAAAATATTACATTTAATGACAATGGAATTGAACTCTACTGTAGCCTCCCGTGAGGGACATCAGAGCACAACCTGTAGATAGTAGACAGGGTGATTCACCGGTATTCAACCGATATCGCATCCGGGATTTATGGAATTGATCGCCGTCCTAGCCTTATGTCCGCGTAAGCGCCGGGCTCTTTATCCGTGCAGTAATGGGTGCTTGGTGCTATTCGAGTACTTAATGCCAATCCCTGTCATGCAAAGATAGTAGCGGTGACCCCTCTACTTGGCAAGATGGTTCAATATTAGTAGGCGAATAGGGCCCATAAATTCATAGAAGGGCGCCATCACGATATCTACATGTTGGAAGCCAGATCACGTATGCCCGGCTCCGGATCAAGACTGGCTGGTACATGCATCATATGCCTAGCAATAGCGGCGGCATCTATAGACTAGATGAGTTGTCGAGCTCTTTTCTGAGTCAATAGTGAGTACTTTTCAAGTCGCAGTCAATGAACACGGACATGAAGGGGCACTATTATATTTATCTACGTTTGTACCACCGTCCCAAAATCAGTGTACTGTATACAGTCGGACTACAGGTCAGAGACTATGAAGTAGGAACAACACTAGAGATAAAAAACCGAGACTGAGGAGGTCTCTACTATTGCCAAGATATTAAGCGCTTAACATTTGGAGGATATCGAATGCCTCAGGTTGTGACGTTCCCTGTCATCCTACATCTCCCCACATGCCTTGTATCCAATGGAATGTACGGAGGAGTCCGCTTGGAATGCATTAACTGTGAATGCTGGCTCTTCTATCGGCAGCGAGTAGTGGGATGACGAGATATCAATCAAATGATAATAATGATGCATACAGAACCGTGAAATCTATCCACATGGATATCAACGAATCCACTATCCTACATACTATATCCAAAGCCGGGATCATTTGGTCTGCTGAACCAGACCCTGCTATTAATTACTGCTATGCTCAACAAATATTATGGGGATCTTCCTTGGCCCAAGAATATCTGAGACCATCTCCATTGGTGGGTAGCGTTATTCAAGGCGTTCTATAGAACCCAACCCCCTTCAAGTGAAAAGAGAACAGTAACGCCTTTTCTAGCAAGTTGAGTATGTCCATAGAGAAGATACGAGGTAGCGCCTAGATTGAGATGGGTAAAGCTACGGAGACTTTGAATCTGTCAGTTCGCGCCCGCGATTAGTAAATAGGCTAGTGGTGCGAGCTCAGGTGTAGGAATGCACTGATACTGGAGCTCCAAACTCAAGGCTATCAACCAGGAAAGTTAGGTGGAGTTCAGGGCTCCGAGCTTCGTATCCCGTACAGTATGATACTTTGACAGCGTGCGTCCCTAATGTCAGGTCTCCTTCGCAATCCTTAGGTTGGGTACCTTAAATGGGACGGCTGTAAGTTTGATCCAATGAGAAATTGTCAGAGGAGCAGACTGCATATAACACGACTAGCTGAAGGCGCAAATTTGCGGAACACATTGTCCTTCCGGTAAGACGAAGACAAATAGGATGAATGCCAGGTTATCCTGCACACCTCGAGGGTGGAGCTGGGCTTGGGATCTTAGAAGGGGGAAGTTAATTTAAGATCCCGTATCACCGAATTGGAAACGATCTCCATGATAACCGTAAACTATTTGGCGTTTCGTACCGGATGTGACCCACGGGGTTTGGAATGAGAGTTGTCACCTAGTCGGGAAGTGATATTCAAATAACTGAGATGGGGGGTTGAATTCGGGTAACTATTGAAGATCTTTGTGGTTGATCTGATCATGAGGAATGGTACAGGGCGTAGTTGGAGAGGGTGTGAGGGTGTGACGGTGCAGGGTGGTAGTGGTATTACTTAAACAAACCGTGACTTGGCCTTAGAATTACTGTACCTCATCGGTATCTCTACTGAAATTAGTCGAGTTCAGCACGCCATAAATAAAATGAAAAATGAAAAAAGCAAAGTGTAAAAAAAAAGTAAAAGGAAATACCTGTATTATTAAGATCTTTATTTCTACGAACGAATAACAATTTCCCAGATTTCCCCTTAAGCGCTCAGATGGAGCCATCGCCGTTGGAACGAGCCAATCTTAAGCCAACGCTGAATTGTCACCCCTGGTTGTCGCCCCCGCCCGTCCATACCAATACTCATACCCACTCAGGTACAATGCGAATAAAATGCCCACCTGTCTGATGAAGGTATGTCTATCTTGTCTGTCTGTATATTAATGGATTGTGGAGTCCGAGTACGGACAGGATACATACATCAAGCAGGGCAGATGTAAAGAAATAACAACCTGGCTGATTGGGAGAGCTCATTTCCCTGATGAACGACAGGATCAAGATTCTCTTACTGGTGAATCATGGGGGGAAAGACAGGATTTAGTGAGCAATAATAGGAGTGGATGCAAGCTGATGCAAGCTCCCTGGGTCTAAGGTGGTAGTAGCTCACTTATCTTTCATCAGACCAGCTAATATGTAGCACCGGGCTAGCGTGATAATATTAGGGCACGCCTACATATACATACATACACCCATGCATTCATTCATTTCGTCTAGTGTTGGGATTTCCTCCTTGAATTGTGACGATCGTCCTGTATCAACAACTACCGGAGAAGGTATGACATTATGCTAGACTTACAAAAGTACATGATGTATCTCTCCATCAGATTGCTTTGATATCAAGGTTTGGTGAGGTTCAGCAGCGTCTAAACCTGCTTTGGGAGCTACCAGTCAAAGCGGGCGCAGTGCTTGTTAGTGCCGGTGCTGCTGGTTCGACGGCCCCAATTCTGCAGCCCTGCATCCTTGGTCCAGACCGAGAGACTAACCTTGACTGTTGTGATCTTCTTTTCCTCCTTTCTTTTTATTTTTTTATTT